GAAAGAATGCTTAATACTTTGCAGAGAGAATGAACAACTCAGAGTTAACGCTGGTTGTGGGGATTTTTTTGGCAATATACCTGGGTCCAGGGGAAAACAGTTGCTCACAGCTCACTGGGCTAAAATGTGTAACAGCTAAATAGGAAAGAGATAATCTGATCTCAGAACGTCTTTAAGTCTAAGGAACTAAGGAGAGTTTCAGGAAGTTTCATGGTGTCAGGATTTGGTTATGTGAACAGCTGCCAGCAGAAAGCTAAGTATTTAGAGCTGTTAACATGCTTGCAAGGGCAGGTATGTGATAATCTGAAGTTCCAAATGACTTGCTGCCTTCTAGACATAGGCAAAAATTCAAGTGGCATTTTCTAAAATACAAAACCTCAGTAAAGAGCACAAGGGTCATTAGCCTCTTCTTTGCTCATCGGTTACACTGCAAGACGAACCATTTCCCAGTGCTGAAGGTTGAGATGCCTTTAGCTATAAAATGTGCCAGGCCTTGGACTAACTGCCCTGCAGCATTTATTAATTTAAAATTAAGCCAGCTTTTAGTAAGCAGAAGGATGTCACCTTGAAGTATGACTGTAACTAGAATTTTTAAAATCAAAAGTTTAAAAAGCTCCTATAGTCTCTTCCCAGCTTCATTGTATCTTATTTGTTCATGAGAGACTCTTGTAATGAAAAGATATAAATTAGGTGGGTCAGTCAAGAGATAACTTGTTTTGGTTTGTTTACTGTATACTATACCCTGTGGTTACTGGCTTTGTTTTTAAATGAATCCAAAACCCAAACATCTTTCAACTCACTAAAAGGAAAGTAAGTCTTCTCAATAAACTACCTGGAATATTTTCAGCTGAAAAGAGCCAGTTAATTATAAAAATGATCACTGCCCAGTGTTTGAGCGTGATTAAGTTTCAGCCATGCTCTTGAATTAAACTGGTGGATGTGATCAGAAGAGCGAGCACTTGACATTTAAAACCTTCAGTGTTGAATTCTAAATTCCAGCATTGTTTTATGTATGAGCTTAAGGGCTTTGTTTTTCTTAAAAAATAAAAAACTTAAAAAAAGGGGGGGAGGGGATTAAAATTTGATTAGGCTTTTTTACATAATGTTACTTCAGGCTGACCTGTTTGATCAGCACATGTCCTTCTGTGGGTATTCTGTATACTCAGCAATTTCCAGCTGCTCAAAAGGATTAGGAGTATTTGCATTTTATAGTTTAAAGAATGAATCAAAACCCTTAACCAAGATGGAAATATCTACAGTATGGCTGGTACTAGGTTTAATGAAGTTAGTTAAAATCATACCTTCAGTTAAACTTGTATAATTTGCTTTAGTTTTTACTCAAATATACATACTTCTTAGATTAGGTGGATTGTTGTCCTCAAATCCAGTGTTGAAATGGCACACTTTAATACAATTTAAAAAACCAGAATCCACAAACATTATGTCAGATTTCCACATAATAGAAAAATGCTGTATCCCACTCACATTATTTTCATCTAGTTTGTGATGCTGACAATTTATTATAAGTCAAATTTAGATTTTTTTTCAAGCACCGTAAATTAAGCCCAGAAATAAAGCTGTTTATGCAATATATAAAAAAGCATTTACACATAGCATTATGTTGCTTGCAACCAAGTGCCTTGTGAATGTATAACCAAGAAATAGTGTTCCAAGACACAGAAACATGTCACTTACTTAAACTTAAATAGAATTTGTATTAAAATTTAAATGTTAACCTTGTCCTATAAAAGATACCATCTAGTACCATTTGCTCCTTGTTTCCTATCAGTTAGTGTCAGGGGTATTGCACGAGACAAGAGAGAATGATAGCAACTGAATGGAAAAATGGAAAACCCAGCCTTGCTAATAACCGTATTACTCTGGAAAGTATCCACTGCTGGCTTTCAAAAGAAAGCTGGCATGTTAAAGCGACTGAGCACAACTGCTGCCATTAGCTTGGTGGGAGCTGTGTGGTTCCTTAATATTCTCAATCCCCTTGTAACACCTGCATTTTGTAAGGTCCTGCAGTTACCTGTGCTGTACTGGGTGGGTTAGGTTTGTTGTTTTGGGTTTTTTTTTTTTTTTTTTTTTGCTTGTTTGGTTTTTGTTGTGGTTTTTTGTTTTGTTTTGTTGGGTTTTTTTAATGTCAGCCAAGATCAGCTGGAATGATTGAAAGGCTTGCCTAAGATCATACACAAGTGACTGTGGCTGGAGAAGGCCCAAAATTCTCCTAGTTCCCAGACTTCAGTGTAACCACAAGACTGCGGTGCTACAGTTGAACTTCATCCTCAACTGGAACTTGGCACAAAGAGTCCCAAGGAAATAATTTCCTTTTGAAGTCTCTTCTAAATGTTCTAACATGTTTTGTCCTTTGTAGTCAACTGGTTCAGGAAAAATAACTTTCAAAGTCTTGGTTCAACTGTCTAAATAAATGTTGTGTGCTCCTAGATTTCTTTAGATTGCCTTTTAAAGTTGATAGTTTGAAATTTGCCAGAAAGCAAGTAGCTGTTCAGTCTGCTGCTTTGAAGGGCATGGACATGAATGGAAGGAGGATACCACTGAAGATCTTCCTCCTATAAAGCAGAAAGCACACTGACTGCTAATAGAACATATTCGATTTCTGGGCAGGAAGCCTTTTTTGCCAGGTTCTTACAGTCAAAAGTGCTCCTCTTTAGTAACTGTTTAGTGGTTTGCTGGTTTTTCTTTTTACACAGATCTTGAGTGGGAAATGTGAAGAGTGCGTAAAGTTAAATGTGTCTCTCTCGTATTGCTGGGGGGGAAATAACTTTAGAAAATGTTCCGCTCTTGAAGAGTTCCTGTATCAGGTATCTTTGGTCTGCTCTCTTCAATGAAAGCTGACTGAAAGGACAGTTTTTGACAAACCAGTGGGTTTTTAAGAATAAAACAATTACCTGTTTAAATGAAATGTCATTCACAGAGCTGACAGTTCCATAGTAATATATGCGGAGTATCTGTTATTTCAGAAGTGAGCCACTTCAGTTAAGTACATTGACTCTCTCAGCAAGAATATTATTTTTTATTTGTAAAGCTTTTCTTCATATAGAGGTAGTGTTACAGATTTATTGAAGTGAGGTGGTGTAAATCTCTGTCTGCTGTTGCCTGTGAGCCATGAGCACAGGACAGTCTTAACAGTCTTGCCCAGAGAGTGAATAACGCAGTAGGCATGTAAGAATTATTTTAGTTTGTGTGTCTGCCACTCATTTGTGTACTCTGCTTGCTCAGTCAAGAGCTAGACCTAATTAATGGTGCCACCAAACTGCACCTTAAACGCAGGAGTTTGACAAAAGTTTCTATCTGGATGCTTTAATTCTTATTATGCAGGTGTGCTTGTGTGCTCCTCGCAGTTTTACCTGTCCTCCATGTAGCTAGGCCTGTGCTAGCTCTGGTCTGAGAGCCAGGTAGCTTTTTAGCTGGAGCCTCCATTTACCTCACTCAGGCTTGGTGTGTTTGGATCTGGTTGGCTTGAGTGCATGTCTGTCTGTGGAAGATCACATGGACATGCTCCATGTTGTGCTAAGAGTACTGCTCACAGCAGTCCAGGGGAAACAGTTTGCTGCCATTGCTCAAGCAAGTAACAGTACAACAGGCTGCCTAATCTCATAACTAAATAACAAAGCCAACCCTCTTGAGCTCTGACAGCTAACACACTGGTACTTAGAAACAGGTCAGCTATTTACATACAGTATAAAAACTAAAAAGAAGTAACACTATTTTAACCTAATTAAAAATGGTTAACTTCAAGACTAGTTAAAATACTGGATGTTAGAACGCCATGGAAGAAGTACATCTACACTATATTTAGCTCTGTTTCTGAAGCTTTTTTTAAAAAAAGGTCTTTATGGTTGGATGTGATGTTAACTGTGGAACACTGAGCCTCCTGTTGCAAATCTAATTTAACAGTTCAAATGGGATTCATGTTGTATAAGTAGAGCTACATGTTATTTTGAGAAGTGGTATTTTGATACTACTATTTTCAAAGGCGCATCAAGGTGAATGCAACGGAAGTTAATGATAAGAAAGTCAGTCTGTTCTAATCCAAGCTGACTAGAATGCAAAACAAGAAATGATGTATTGTTGAAATTTAATTTTTTCCTAAGAACCTCAACATACAACTTAAAAAGCTATGTGACATGCCACCCTGAATTTGAAAACACTGCCTTGAAAGCATGCTGCCTGAGATCCTTTTTATAAAAACAAACATGTGCTATAAAATCAAAGGGATTATAAAGTTAAAACAGTAAAGGAGAAGCTCTACAGGATACACTGTAATCTAGAAATACAATTCTTAAACTTCTTTTCCTTGAAAAAAGCTGGTGCAGAGAATACTGCTGTTTTTATCCTGACTGTTTAATAACGGTTAAGAATAATCACTTATAATAAATTAGGTCTGCAGTATAAATGAACATATGAACCTTCCAAAAGAGACATACTAATGTTACTTTTAGAGTATCTAAAATGGATTTAAACTATTTCAAGATTCATTTTATCGCAATTTATATTACTTTAGGAATCTTCTATACAGCAAGTTGAACAGAAAAAAGCAAACATTCTAACAGCCCCCTTTCCCTAGAACAATTTTTGTATAAGAGAGTTTTAAATAGCTATTTCAGCACACTTATGTGTGCTCTCGCTCCCCCTTTTCCTAAAGGCAGCACAGCCAAGAGACAGTGCAAGAACTGGCATTTGTTGACTGACTCTGTTTTCTTCTCCATCTGGTAAAGATAAGAGTAAGATGGAGACTTGAGAATGTCCCAAAATGGAAAATGTGAATTTGATGTTTACTTTGCCAAATCTCCAGGGGAGTTTGTTCTTTTCCTTGATTATAGTTGATAAACCCCACATCACTCTGTGTCTGGATGTCACTGTGTTTGGGTACGAAGTTTTCAATTTCAGCTGTGGATGAAACTTCAGTGAAATCCAAACAGGAGCTCCCATTAGGAATAAATACAGCATTTCGTATATTCCATTTTCTACTGTCCTTATTCTGGGGAGGAAGAATCCTCATCTTCATCCTCTTCATCCTCATCATTGAATGAGCATGGAGTTTCTCCCCGTGATTCCGAGTAGCGTGATGTTGCACTGCTGGACTGTTGACTGCTTGGGGCAAGAAGCCCAGTTGCTAAGGCCACTTCAGCATCCAAACACAACCCTGGATTCTCACTATTAAAACAACAGAAATGGTGACGTTTAGAGGATTTCAGATGAAGTTTTAAGCTTTCTTTTTGGTCTCAGCTTTTCCTTTAGTTAAAGAAATGCTACCAACGAGGAGAAATCCCGAAGCTTTACAATACATGCAGCTAATACTTATGAAAACTGCTAAAACATCAGAAAGTCACATAAAAAAAGATTGTTGGGGGGTTTGGTTCCCTTCCCCCCAATAATCAATTAGTAGATTTGCTCAAGCTGAAAGTTTTTTTTAAAAAAAATTCTTCACAGTTTTTTTTAATACACAGAAATGTTTGGAATATGAAATTAAACTGTTAAATGCCATGAGGAAGAGCCTGTTTCAGAATGATCCCTCTTTCTCTACAGGTAACCTACAAGCGAAGCACAGTTGTTGAGGTGTTTTTGCATTGGATTTTCGTTATTGGTGGTGCTGGTTTTTGCTTGGTTTTTAATTTAAAATTATGATTAGACTGTGTGGACTAAACTTCTTTTATGATAGCTTAAGCAGTAGTGCATTTAGACACCAAACATCCTCCTGCATTCTTCAGAAGTATTATCAGGCTTTGTTCCTGTCGTGGTTTAAGCCCAGCTGGCAACTTGGAACCACGCAGCCGCTCGCTCACTCCCCCCCTTTTTCTTCCTCCCCCCGCTCCCGGAGGGATGGGGAGGAGAATCGAAGGAATGTAACTCCCACGAGTTGAGATAACAGCTCTCCAGTAACTAAGGTATAATACAAACCACTACTGCTACCAATAATAATGATAAGAGGAATAACAAGGGAAAAGGACACAACCGCTCACCACCCGCCGACCGATACCCAGCCCGACCCGAGCAGCAATCTGGGCCTTCCGGGTAACTCCCCCCAGTTTATATACTGGGCATGACGTGCTGTGGTATGGAATACCCCTTTGGCCAGTTTGGGCCAGGTGTCCTGTCTCTGCTTCCTCCCAGCTTCCCCTCCTCCCTGGCAGAGCATGAGACTGAGAAAGTCCTTGGTCAGAGTAAACATTACTTAGCAACAACTAAAAACATCGGTGTTATCAGCATTGTTCCCAGACTGAAAGTCAAAAACACAGCATTGCACCAGCTACTAAGAAGGAGAAAAAATGACTGCTGTAGCTGAACCCAGGACAGTTCCACATGTAGTTAACTATTTGTAGTCCATGCGTAGGCAGGTATGTATTTGAGGTTAATCAGGAGAACTCTGTCCTTACAATAAGCATTTGAAGGTGACTCTATTCTTCTGAAACATAGATACAAAATAGCTAGTATGTTCAAAATTCAAAACATGTTCATTTGACCTTTCAAATGTAATTATAAAGGAAGATAGTATAAGACTGATTTACAATCAAAAATCAACCATACAGAAAACATTGCATTACCTGCATATAAATGATATGAAATAGTGAGGTTATTGAAGTATCACAAGCATATACCACTTATCTTTGACTTTAAATTATTTTATTTACCTTGATTTAGCTTCAGAAGTGCCTCCTGCTACCTCCAAATATGAACCTGCTTGTGTTGAACTTGAAAGTAACCCTTGGTTTATCCACGAAAATCCTGATGACATATCTAGAAGAAAAGTATAATTTTATTTATGATAGTTGCTTGAAGTTTTTCTTCCTTTTACAATCTCAAACTTCACAGTTTCTTTGCAGCTAAGATTCCTTAGTTTAGTTCAGAATAGAAGGTACCAGTAACTTAAGTTCATTTTATATATAGATGTGTCCTGTTTAATCAAGATGAAATTATAAATCTTTACATACATCCCCCCCCAGTGTTTGTGGATGCACTCAAGCCTTGCACTCCTTCATGCTCACAATTGTTATTTCTTTGAAACTCTCCCCTCTGCCTGAAGAGGCTTCATGCTGCAGATGACCCTGGCCAGTAGCCATATGCAATCACAAAAATAGAAATAGAGTTTTGGAGGTTGTACAGATCTATGCCTCAAGAGCTCTAACTGCCTTTGCTGTTGTGCTTAGTGAAGGTGTAAATGGAACTGTACTTGTCAGGATTGGAGATACTGCAGTGAAGCCATCATCAAGGCAGTATGTGTTTCAGTTGTGTGTGTTCTGATGGCCAAAGGCAGTTTCATCTTGGTGATCTCACAGCTGGCTGTAATGCAGCCTCCTAATCTGTTCTGATGGATTAGCTGTGGATGTGAACAGACCATGTCGGAGATCTTGTGCCAAGAGTGTGAAAGGGAGATCCTGTTGTATACTGCATGTGTGAAGTGCAAGTGTCCTCCCCAGGGAAAGGAAATTTTAGGATTAAAATGGTCTTGCAGTACTGCTGAATTCCTTGAGGTAGTATGTTGGAAGCCCTCTGAGGCACATGAGTGTGTTAGAACCCTCCATAGAACCTATTTCCAAATTCTCTAACAAGTAATGCTAGTCACTTGTTTCCAGTTTCGCATATTTCTGCTATGAGAATCAGCAAACGAAGTCTATTGACCCAATTACACATATGGGATTTTTTGGGGGGGTGTGTATGTGGTTTTAACTTGTTTCTTAGATAAGATATTTTTATTGACCTACCCAAATTCCATCTCAACACAGAGTTCAAATTAAAATTAATTATCAGGGCTATCTAGTTCTTCTTCATGGTGCTTGCATGTGGTTCCAGCTGGATGCATTAAACCAGGAGTTACTGCCCTTACTGTTAATTGCTATGCCTAACCAAACCTCTGTTCTGAACAGTACAATGGCAGTAAAAATCAGATTGCACTATTCATATTTTACCTAGAATTGTTCTGTAATAGCAGGTAAATGGAATAACTAAATGTGTTTGTTACATATGCTTTCTTGTTTGTCTGTGTTCTTGTTAACCTTTGGCTCCTTGAGATTTGCCTAGCATGGGACTATTTTAAGGAGACTGTCACAGCCATAGCAACTGGCTCACCATCCATTGGGATTCACACGTTACCATCTTTTGTGCCGTGGACACCTGTTAGCAGTGAGGAATTTAAATGCCATGGTACAAGGCAATGCTAGCAAGGTTGATGTTCCTGCCAACAGCCTTTAGGACATGACAGAAAACATTAAGTGGCAGCTTTAGGGTGATATCTGAGGATGGGACAGATGAGAACAGTTGAACATGGACATAGCTGGATGGCTTTCATTAAGATTGCCATAAATGCAGGTTTGTTTTTACAGAGAACACGTCCTGACAATCTCCTCTTGTCAGGAGGAGGCTAAACCATTTAGAATGACTGCATTTTATTTAAATTAATAAAGTGGATTAGAGATGTATCACAGGGTTGTTTCCTGGTCTTTTGAAGGGATGTACCTGTGTGTACACGTTGAATGTTCCAGGAGAAAAACAAGTTGCTGCTAGTAATCTCTTCCATTTTATTAACATTTTGGGATAACTGGTTAGCTTCTTTGTGAAGAGCAAGGTGAAGGAAAGTATGGATTTTACACATAAGGCAGAAAGATGGTTCACAGATGCCTATCCCTGCCTTGTGCTTTCATTGCCTTCTAATTTTATTTTCCGGTGGGCTCTGAGGAGCAAGGGAAAACAAGTTTGAAAGTTTAAGAAGCCATTTCCTGTCTGTTAAAATAGAAGTCTGCCTACGATGAAAGACTTATTACTTCTAGCAGAACAGATAAATTAGTAATAGCTATACCTGTGAACCACGGAAAGCAGCTTGGAAAAACCTTTCCAAGCTGGTACAGGCCAGTCTAAGAGTGGCACCCTTATTATGAACAGGCATATCTTGCAGCAGATATCCGTGGCAGAAATTCGTACTGTACATGAAAAGGCTCTAAAGGAACATCATCGATAGCCTTAGCAATTAATACAAAAGTGCTGCATAGGATTCCTGTTGATGGACGAACAAGCTCATTCATTCAGCGATACTTCTATCTCTTCAATTCCTACTCCAGGTAGATAGCAAAGCATTTCTTCATGCAGGGGAGAATAAAAGAAGTGTTGTCATCTAGAGGTCCTAAACTGTACCACTTTCTCTGCTCACTGCCTTAGTGGGATATGTGCAAGTGAGGGGTTGTTACCACAACTCTAAGTGCCTCAGAATTTTTATTTCCTACCTTTTTTTTTTTAAATCTCAAGTCTCATTTCTAGGAGTCAGGACTCAGCTGACAAACACCAGACCTGAATTTGCATTAAATACCTGTAGTATATGCATGGCTTAAAAGGCACGGGATGGTTCTCTTGTTTATGCTTGTCTCAATCAGTGGCTTATTTCAGCTTATCCAGCAATCTCACTCCCTCTTTATTTGAACTTTTTATTTGAACTGCTCTAGTATGAGCCCTTAGCTAGTCAGTTCAAAATGCTGCATTGTCAGAAAGGCCTCTGCCAGATAAGGAACCTACAGTTTAGTTCCCTGAACTAACTCTTAAAGAGGACAGAGGAAAGTAACTGCCAAAATTAAGAAATGGGCAGGAATGTGCAATTAGGAACATGACCCTGGGGTGCCATCTTAAGCTGGTGCGAGTATCCTATTAGAAGTAACACTGTTCCTTCCACAGTAAAAAGGTTGTAGTGCAGTCTGCTTTATGTCCATCACTTTTTCTGGCTTACCTACTTAGTTCATCAAGCATATCAAATTAGGGCACTTGAAGAATGGCTAAAACACATGATCCTCCTGACAAGAGAATACACTAAAAGGCCTTGATACATCAGTTCAGCAGTTCCAAGCAAATTATTTGGCATGTTTAATGTGACTAGAAGTTACTTTTTTCTTTTAGAGCTGAGATGGTCCAAAGCTTTTTTTTTGTCAATTAAAAATGTCTTTCATTTAACTAGTTGAGACTTGGATTCTTCCAACTGCTTCTCCAGTCCTGTTAGCAAGAATTAGAGGACAAACTATTGTTAGTGTTTGGAAGTCAGTAATTATCTGAGGGGGAAAAAAAAAACATGACAAGGTTAAGGTCAAACTAACATTGTATGGGAAATGATTTGCTTACATGTACTAGGACAGGACTGGTTTCTACAGCAGTTGAGTCCATGGATTCAGCTTGTGTGGGAAAACTTTAATCTTGACTGAAATAAATTTACTCAGTGAATAAATTAAGACACCTTGATTTGCATTTCTTATATAGCAGTAATTGAAGCCAAGGTACTGAACAGTGCCATCATGAGAACTATGGAGGTAACCATGAAGTCTAGAAACCAGCAATGAGCCTTGTGTTTCACTGTCCTTGCAGTGTAAGAAGCAACATCTGAAGACTGTCAAGGTTAAAATGGGAAGCTAGACTTAACTGAAAATTCACAATCAGGCAAATGCTGGGGTTTCAAGTACTGTGCAAAACATTTAAATCAGTTTCCCTTATGTCAGTTACTGCCATTAGAAACCTGTATTATGCAGTTCATACTCTTATTAGATATAGACTTGTGCAACGAAGTAGCAAGCTACAGATAGAAGAAACCTTTAAAAATAAACATACATACTCTAGTAACACTTCTGGACTAATGTTTTCACAGGCTGAAATGGCTGAAGGTAACTCATGTCTGAAGAGTATGTTACTTGCCTCAGCGCATTTTAAGTAAAACATAAAATCAATACATTTCTAAAAATCAGGTTTCTGGCTGCTGGTCTGCTGCTAGAGAAATAATCATGATGTTTTTAAGAATAGGCAATCTTGAAATCGTTTCTGGTTAGTTTCTTTGAAACAGAGCACTATTTGTTTCTCACTTGCACAGGAACATCATGGTTGTTTTGCCTTTGGTGCTTTCAATAAAAACCCCACCAGCAGTATATTAGTGTGACTAAATTTTTTCAAAACAAACTAAAATGACCTGCTAAGCACTAGTTCCACATATAGTGCAATGACACAGGGGTTTTTTGCAAATGTTAAGCAACCCTGTTCTCTGAAGAGAAATTAGTGCAGGTTTAAAATGGAACAGAAATTTTAGTTTGCTCGTTGATACACAGGAGCAGTTAAGTAACCTAAACACTGCAACACTATTAAAAGATGTGAGTCCTGCTCCTTTCCTTTTTTTTTTTTTTTTTTACATTGGTGGTAAATGCGGTAAGTAATTTTTAGTTGAATGAGCCTGCAAGGAACAAACTAAGATTTCTTTCAACTTCTCATTTTGGCATCAGTGCAGCCTTATAAAGACTTGAGGGGGCAATTTTGAAATTGACTTAAACTAAAAAATGGAATCTTAGTTTTGAAACCCACAGCACAAGGGGACCAGGAAAACACAAACAAGCATTGATAAACATAAGCACATCTGATGTAGTTTGAAATGTTAAGCCATTTAAAATGTACTGATCTTAGTGAATGTAACAGTTATATATCCAGCAGTGTTTTCACATCACAAATTTTAAGCAACTGTTTAATTCTTAATTCTCTCACATAGTCAAATCAAGGACGCACAAACCCACATTGTTTCCTGACTACTTAACTAGGTTTTCCTTAGCAAAACAAAATAGCATTAATACAAAGCCTGCATTTTAAATGATCCTTACATGTGGATTAGGTGTTGCCAACAGAAGGGAATCAACTTCACTAAAGTTAAACATTTGGCTTTTATTTTTATTTTTTTTTTGAAGTGTCCAGCCTGGCTGTGTGAAAGGTACACTTTTATACTACTGTAGTTTAATCAAGACTAAAGCCTCGTTAGTAGAGAAGTCAGGGCAATAGCTTTGCTTCCCCCTTCCTCAAAAATGAAGGTCTGTATACAGTTAATTGCTTGGGTAGCACTTCACTTACAGATGAAGTCCTTCCAAGAAACTTGAGAAAATGCTGGCCTACATTTAAGCTTTGGGCAGAGCAAGAACGCAGTCTGACAGTCACTAAAGGAGTGATTACAAATTTTAGCAGCTCTAGTCCAACAATTCAAGATTTGAGTCTATTTAAGTGTGACCTGTTCAAACAGTGTGACTAGGGGATGTAAAAGCCTCTGGTGAGACTCCTGTCCTGGAACTCTGGAGCTTTTGATTTATTTAGAAGAGCAGCTGAGTTCTCAGGTGGCACCTGCTGGTCTGGGAGTCACTTATAGATTACACTCACCCACTTTAAGATGCTCTTTTTCTTTCCTTTTCCTCCTCAGCTTTGGAAGAGCTGCCTTCCAGTCTGCTTGTCCATTCATCCAGGTTTATTAAAAATTGATATTAATCCATGAAGATCTGTTCTTAGTGTCAGTTCAGCTATTTAAGAAATAATTTCTTCATAACGCAGCTCACTCAGAAGTTTGTTGTTATAGATCAATGAGAATTAAATTTACAGGACAACTATGATAAACCTTCCAAAATGACCTGTAGAAGAACTGGTTTCTGTACAAACCCTACTAGCTCCCACAAAACTTCAACTGTTATGTACCTGTGTGGGTTAATATCATTAAATTTGCTTCAGTTAACTAATGTTAAGAATTTGATCAGGAATGTAAAAGTCTCATCTATAACTTACCTGTGATGTAGCCTTCTAAAGCTTTGGGCACCAGTGATTTTGCAGTTCTTAGGTCCTCAGCTGAGCATTTGCCTGCCTCGAGCCCAAAGGACATTCCCATTCTCTTCAGCACCTCGCTGTCATCATGAATCTCAAAAGTGTTATCGAAATTAAAGAGGTATTCAAATCTGCATGTGAAAAGTCAGAGTGAGATGGTTTGAAAAGAGCACAGCTATGTGGTTTTTGCCTGATATTCCTGCACTGAGGTAAGCATCCCGATCCTTCATTATCTGCAAAGGGTTCTTAAGGAGAAAAACAAAAAAAAGTGCATCAAATGCTTTTTCTTTTCCGGTTCTGTGACTGGCATGCCTATGGGGTGTAAAATGGCACTTTGTCCATTAAAGTAATTTTACCATTGCAGGAAGAAAGTCTAAAATTTTCTACCTCATTAAACAGATTCAAACGGGAAGAGGGAGGCCTTATTAAACATGAACCTTCACTTGTACTAAATCCAGTATTTTTAAAGGTCATCTACAGCCCTATCACCAAAATAACTATTTTGGTTTTGCTTCTTGTACATTTCACTTTCTGTTCTAGTGTGCAACACTCCTCCTGTGAAGTGACCTATTTACCTTGGTCTAGTTTTGGTTTTTTGGATGCATTAGGATGCAGCTAGCAAAGCAGTCTGTTCAAAGTCCTTTATGTTCACAACCTACTATTTCTGCTGCAGGACTCTCAGAATGCTTTTCATTGCATGTAGAAATGGAAATAGTGATTTAAAGTTAAGACAGCTTTAAGAAAAGCGGGGGCATCTACTGGCCTTATGCTCTGATCACAGGCTATTAAATGCCTGGACAGCCCCGGTCCAGGGATTACAATATAGGCTGGCTCCCAGTGCCTTGTTTTCTGCTGACAAAACCTTTATCCCTGGAAAAGCAACCCATATGTGAGAGACAGTCTTTAAAAGATAACTTACTGGTGGGTCTTCTGTTGGCTCTCCAAGCTCATGTCACATGTGGATTTTATTGATATTTTTTTTTTTTAATTTTATTTAAAAAAAAAAAACTAAGTTTCTTGGATCCAGTAAGTTTGGAAAAGTTTCATCTTTTGTACTTAGGCACAACATTTTCATCTAGTAATCTACATGCTTGGAACTAGGTGTAACTGTCAGTTACAGGCATCATCTCTTTTGTGACTTACACAAACTTAGTATTGAACTTATTACTTGTAAAACCTAGTGTTTATGCACCTGTACTTATTTAAGCATAACCACATTAAAAGGGAAAATAAGATGTGTCACTGTACCTTTAATTGGTACAATTACGTTCCTGCTACATGGACTGGTGCACCTAAAGTCAGGTAACTATGTTTACATAAACAGGGCATGGGAGACCAGTGTCATACCACATTACTACCGGCAAGCTATGTAGTAACTAAGTTGTAACTGAATTCAGCTTTTATGGTACAGGATTAAAGACTGTATTTACTGATACCTCTACATTTCTCCTCCCAGGTGCTGTGGCCAAATACTAGATGTTAGAAAGGAGCCAAACTCCTTTCCATCCCCCCTCAAGTTTCCAAACAAAGAAACTTATAGTAGCATTTCCCCAGCATAGTCTCCAGCAACCTGCAGCCCCTGACACAGGAAGTTGCTGCGCTTCCCTCCACCTCTGCTGTTAACAGCTATTCGAGGATTTTCTGTTAGGGACTTGACGTGACCCTTCTTAGAACTTGCAGAAACTTTTGGCATGAGCAGTATCAAATGCTATGATTTGCACAGACTGACTGTTACAAACCCACTTACATTTCTTATGTCTATAACCTGTCACCTGGTATCTGCTCTTGTCTCTTAACTTTAATAAAGCAACTATTTCCAGCTGTTCTCTGTGCACATGCTCCATGTTGTCCATGATTTTACATACACCTGTGAATCCACTGTCCTCTTTTTTTCTAGACCACAGAGTCCATCTGTTCCTTCTGTGAAAGCCTTTTTGTATGCTGCCCTCCTGTGTCTCTCTCCTGGTTATGCTATGCTTTTCCAAGAACAGGAGAGGATATAGTATTCCAGATATAAAAGCACTACACATATCTAGTTTTACTCCGTATTCCTTACTGTTTTTGCTAGTAATTCCCAGCACTGTTTTGGCTGTTCTTGAGAAATCCATTTTTGTTCTCATAGAATGATCTACTGGGCTGCCATCTTACAAATCAGTGCTAAAAGATCACTCCAGAGGCCAGTGCTGTGTACATGAATTTTGGGTACAGTTCCTGTCCCTTCCCACGGTAAGTGCAAATTTGATCAATTAATTTAATCTGCAGTTTCTGCTCTTGCAGGCAATTTTTTCTCTAAGGGTACAAGAGCCTACTTCCTACATGTTTACTTTCATGGATAGTATTGTATCTCCAATGGCAAAATCTTCTGCATTTCCCATTAAAAGAGACATGTTCTAATTTTTCACATTTGTGATACCTCTATTGTGTCTGAATGCTTGTTTAAAACTAGGTATTCTGGTTCTTTTTTATTTTTCCCTTTTTCCCAAGACCTACAGCATGTATATAGAGGCACCATATACACTAAACCTATTTTTGCTCTTTAAATGGGACTTCTTCAGGTGCCTCATCTTTTCAATATAATTTTTACCTACTTCTTTATCTTCAGACTCTGCTTTTCTTGACACCAGCTTCAGAAATGCCATTCCCAGTATGCTGCTTGGCACCTGGCTGCCTTTCAAACTCTAAACAAAACTTGCCCAGTAACCTCTTTGTTTTGCATGTGAGAAAATTCATCCCATTTTGGCTAGATGAAGCCTGTTCTTGCCTAGGAAGAAACCTTAGGAGACAAAAACCTGTGTTCCTCGTGATGCTAAATCCCCTTTATATGTACCATTTTTCCAAACAATTATATTCTTCTAGAAGATCCTCTGTAAATACAATTTTGAGTAGCAAATGCTGTGAGATTATCTGTTCATTGGACTTTCTAACATCACCTGCTGTGGCATTATAAATATCAACCAACCAGCGTTGGTAACATATACAAATATTATTTGAGAGAAGGAATGGAAGCCCTTTAAGCAGTGGATTATTAACTGACCTTGAAGGGCAGGCACTCAAGCTGACCAGTACTGGGGTTAGGCAGCACAAGTACTCTCTAATGAACTACAGAATTTGAATTCTCCAAACTAAGTGACCACTTTTGCCAACTGCCTTATTTAGCAGATCAATATAACAGTGCTTTAAACACTAGCAGTTTCTGCCACTGTTTACCTACACACTGCTGCTGCCACTAATCAGTTGCACAAACAACAACCACAGTGGAAAGCTTGTTTAATTTGGATTGTACACTTAATGATCTCCAGATGACAGTTATATTGAAGCTGGGTTATATAAACTGAAGTATCAAAAGCTTAAATAATTTTGGTGTGTTTGTTCTTAGTAGTAGTGTTTTCTTACAGTTTGAGACTGGAGGAGCTTGTTACCCTTCTCTAGATCCCAAATTCCAGGTTAATCTCTGACAGCTTTAAATCGGCAGTTCTGAAGTTTCAATATGAAACTGTCCAACTGCATAGTATGCTGATAAAATAAGGGTATAGTCAAGCTAAATCAATACAGATTCTAAAATTCCCAACTTGAACTGCAGTGCAGATGGAAGTATTCCTAAAATTTTGCCACAGAATGTATTGGACTTCAGCTGAATTTTCTACAAAAATTCAAGTTTTAATAGTATTATTGCTTTTGCACATTGTTGCTTAGGTTACTAGAGACTGTCTATTTTGCCACGTTAATGGAATTCAAGTTCGATAGGGGATTTGACTAGCACCAAGTGAAGTCTGTAATCTACAGTATTAAGGCAGAGCCAGCTGTTTTCAGCTAATAAACTGTGATCTGATTAACAGTTAGCATAACAGTATTTGATACTGCCAGCTATATTTTCATGGGATGAAGGGGATAAGCATCCAGAAGTACGTAAGTGGAAGATTTTCATATTAATGAGTGCAACTCTATCAGTTTGCTTACAAAGGCAGTATTTCAAATTTTTATATTATATCCTTCCTTTTTTTTTTTCCTTCAGTCAGCTACAACCTTTCCGCTATTAAAAGACACTTCCAAAGTTACTACTGTCACCTCTAGGATTTTACTTTTGTGTTACATGGATCACCTTGTGTTTCTGACTAAATATATTTATGGCACATCAGGAATATGAAATCAGAAGCACTACCACATGCTACTGCTGTCCTAGCAGAGAATTCCATTCAGTTATTTCTCTGTGCAGTGAATACTCTTTGAAATGTAAGTCTGAGGTGCCTTTTGAAACAGTGAAAGTCAGCCTGTTTTAACTAGTGCTTGTAAAGTAATGTTGCTAAACTTACTGCATTTTTAATATACATATATAAATTGTATTTAATATATA